TTCTGTCTCCTTTACTCCCACAGGGTTTGCTTGGGCTCCTTAGGATTGTAACTGATGCCGTTGTCTGTGAAAACCCTATTAGGTTGCTGAAAGAGGCCTGAGTGTCAGACTGAAAATTGTAGGTTTTGAGAGAATAGCAGTAGGAGTGGCTCTGGGTCTCTGAGAGAAGGCTTAGTGCCATGGAAACAGGGTGAATAGCATTCTGTTGTTGCCAAAGGAACCTGCCCTTAGGGGAGAAGTCTACCTACTTGTTACTCACTGACTTGGGTGCAGCTTGGGCAGTATGGCAGGGATGATAAGCCTGGGCTCCCTTCTCTGGCCTTCTGGAGGACTTCTTATGTTGAGTCCTGCTGATTTGGGACCATGTTCTAATACTCCAGGCCCTGAGAGGTACCTTCCTGTTTTTCTCTTTGAGTAAGATAACCATCTCTCTCTCTCTTTTTTTTTTTAAGTGTTTTATTGATTTCAGAGAGAGAGGAAGGGAGAGGAAGAGAGATAGAAACATCAATGATGAGAGAGAGTCATTGAGTCATTGATCAGCTGTAGGCACGTTCCCTACTGGGGATGGAGCCAGCAACCCAGGCATGTGCCCTGACGGGGAGTAGAACCGGGACCTCCTAGTTCGTAGGTCAATGACTGAGCCACATCAACCCTGCTGAACTGGAAACTATTGAAGGGAAGGGACTATGCTTTTTTTGTTTGTTTTGTTACTCCACCTGAGGATATATCCATTGATGGGGGGGCCGGAGGGCGGAACATCAGCATGAGAGAAACGCAGTGATTGGTTGCCTCCAGCAAGCACCCTGACTGGGCCGGAGATAGAACCTGCTACCCAGGTATGTGCCTTCGACTGGGAATCAAACCAACGACCTTCAGTGCACTGGCTGACACTCTAACTACTGAGCCACACTGGCCAGGGCTAAAATTTTGATTTATTGATTTGAGAGAGAGAGGTGGGGGCAGGGGGGGAGAGAGAGAGAAGAGAAACATAGATTTGTTATCCTCCTCATTTATGCATTCATTGGTTGATACTTGTATGTGCCCTCACCTGGGATTGAATCGGCAACCTTGGCATATCGGGACAATACTCTAACCAACTGAATTACCAGTCCAGGACAAAATTGAATACAATTTAAATTCAGTTCCTCATTTGTACTAGCATGTTTTAAATGCTTAGTAGCTACGTATGGCTGGTGGCTACTATATTAGACAACACAGACCATTTCCATGTTGCAGAAAGTTCTATTGGACTGCACTGCTCTAAAGCATTTGAATTTTGTCCTAGGAGTAATACTTTGTAGAGAGGGTCAGTGTTGCCTGAATTGACCTTCCCTTCCTGTCTTCCATGAGTGGTCAGATGGGATATGGTGTTAAAATTGGTGCTGAAATTGTTGACACTTTTGCACATCAAGTGTTGGGAATTCACTGGGTCTTCTTCTCTCTCTCTTCTGCCTACAGTGTTGGAGAGCTGGCTGGACTACACTGGGGAACTGGAGCCCCCACAGCCGCTGGCCAGGCTTCCGCAGCTCAAGCATTGCATTAAGCAGCTGCTGACGGACCTGGGCAAGGTGCAGCAGATTGCGCTCTGCTGCTCAACATGAAACTGGGCACCCAAAACTAATGGGGGCACAATCTGGGGGCACCTGCAGGAGGAACTTTGCATTTTTAAGTAAATAAACCTAGCATGCCAAATGCACGTGACACCGACTGACTTCAGGGATCTGGGTAGATGGGGCGTGATGTACATTGGACAAAGAGGCCATTTTGGCTGCTGGAGGGCAGGGCACTCTGATCTCAGAGCCTACCAAGAAGGTAGCAGATAGACTCTTGGGATTCCCTTCTGTGCACATCGTTGGATGGAGAGTCTTTTTGCACAAACTTCACTTGGAATTGTGCCACTGATGATAAATGGAATGTGAGCCAGAAAAGTTTCGTCGGAAACAGTTGTAGATTCAACTTGCAGCTTATTTGACTTTTCTGTTTGGTTGGGGCACATGCCAAGCTTTTTGGTTTCTGCCTGGCATGGATTTAGGCAGCAGGTGTCATTTTCATTTTTCCAGCTTCATGGGAATGTTGTGACTTCACATTCTGTGGAGATTCGGAAGGAGCAGAGGCCTTGGCTGCCCTGCCTTCTCCCGTAGGACTCTTCACTTTTCTCACCACATCTCTTGCATGACTTCATGGTACTGGGGACAAGTTTTGTATGCTTTCACCCGAGTTGGCTGGGTTGTGTCTTTTATAGCAGAGCCCATACAGCCTGTGGAGGAACTAGACTCTCACTGTTCTAAGAATCTAGGAGGAATTCCAAATTCAAGCAGGCAGGGTCTGGAACCCAAAGGACAGCATTTTCTACCCACGTCTTTATATTGACAGCTTCCCAGTTCTATTTAAAGTCCAAAAAGTGTTTCCCAAAATTTTGAACTCTCTCTGTAAAGATTTGTTACAAAGAATGTGGTTTGGGGAATTACCTTATTTTATATTGTTGTAAACAAACTTTAGATTCTACATGCGCCGCTTTCCTTCTTCCCTGAAGGGTATATGTTCAGTAGTGGCATTTTCAAAATTGTTTTAATATACTTTAACACTTTAAATATCCTGTTTGTATTATTTTGTGAGAGTAAGGTGATTATGCTGCTTAAGGTCCAGGTACTGTTTGTACCTTTCAAGACAATATTTGTTACTCTTTGCAGGTTACGGTTCCACATGTAATTGCTATATTGTTTTTCCTTACTAGCCAGTTAAAGAAAATGTTCCATGTTTTGAGGAGTGACCTGTTTCACCATTTAGTTTTCTTATCACTAAAGGCAAAAAGCAAAGCACAGTTGTCCATTAACACTCACAAGTTAATTATGGGTTTATAAATCTGTAATGTTATATGCTGCAAATATTTACTATGTAAACGTGAAGTAGCCAATATCTCAATAGCAATGACAGTATTTCCAGCAATCTGTGGAATGGTCAGGCTTTAGGCACAGGTCATTGTGGTCATGAAGGCCTCTGTACCAAGACCTGTTTCAGGAAATGCTGTCCAGTGATTTGTTCACCATATGATATAAAGTGAATTTAGGACAAGTTGACCAGCTGTAGTTTATCCATCAGAAGGAATACCTGTAGCTGTGACATCTGTACTAAAGCTGACACAATTCCTCTACAAGAGGCTGTTTCCCGTTGCTAATGGCGTTTCTGGTATAGGAGGAAACGCTCTAGGAGTGTGTATGGCATCTATGTTTTGCGTAATTTATCAGACAGCCACATTATAAGAACCGTGTGATGCTTGTCTGAAAAGGGAAGAAACAGGATGGTTTTCTGTAGCCACAACTGTGAAGTATGATGACTTGTATTATTAGATTACTGATCCCCCCCCCCTTTAAAATAAATTTGAGTGTCACATTTGGAAGCTGTAACTTTAAGACAATTTTATGTCTTTTTCAAAGATGGAATCAGAAACTAACTGAACTGCCCTAATTTTGTCCGTTAATTGGGCTTACTGTTTAAGTTCTGTAAAGAAAAAAGTCCCATTTCACTCTTTGTGAATTTTGGGAAGCAGGGATGACTCCCGAGTTCTGGTAGCCTCGGTGTGCTTCCCTCACGTAAAGCCATGCTAAGGGGCTCCATCCTGATTCCTGGGTCAAGCTGAATAAGCCCAAGTTGGAGCACTGGAAACTGTTATTTGAAATGTTACTGTTACCATTTAGAAATATGTACACTACCTAAGTTTTCTTTTGAGTAAAACTCTCCACCTTTTAAAAAACTGCCTTGACAAACAGTTCTGGTTTGACTAATCATTTTGTTTCTTTAAGTGATAGAGTATATGCAAGGTGGACCCTTGATGAGCCAACATTGCACTGTGGATACATATCTATGTTTACGCGCTATTAGAACAGAAGGTGAGGCGCTGTATATAGAGATGTTGCTTTGAAGCAATATTTGCAAAACATGCAAACTTCTGTTATCTGTATTTGGAAAAAAATAAAACAGGTTTTTGTTGCTGTTTGTCTTGTTATTGAATTATAAAATTCTCTTCTTAATATGCATTATTTAATTTTCTGTAAACATCTTTTTAAAGGAAGTCTGCTTATATTCTAAACAGATTTATCTCCTGCAGGGAGGCAGATGGATACAAGCTCAAGATCCTAAATCCCAAGAAAATAATCAAAATACTTTTGAATTCATTTAAATGTCTGTAATATTCAAAAGTAAAATATACCACACCAGCCTCTAGCCCAGTCTAGCTCATGTGTTGTGGTGTGAACTGCAGGCTTATTAGATTTTGATTACTTAAAGCAGTGCAGAGAAGACAGGTTTGGCCTGATAAGAGATGGCACCCACTGCATTTAGGATCCTTCTGAAACCAATCTAAACTGTCTTTGGACCCTAGTTAGCTCCTTTCTGGTTGGGCTGAAGATTCAAGGAAGCATAGATTTAGATTTCATAGAAGAGCTTCCCTATTTCCAAATTCCTTCTTCCCTTTCTAAACAATTACGCTTATTTAAAAAAATAAATGGAAGTGGTTGGAAATATTAAAGTGCATAGTTCCAGCAATATAATCAATTAGTTCACACCAGTTCTGCTTGAAATTTGACAAGGAAGGTGAATCTGGAGGCTTAAGCCAGAGCTAACAAGAGCTAGCCTATCTAAGGACCTGCTCTGAAACTTATTAAAATAGCCCTATCCTTTGGGCCTTTTGGGAATCTGCGCCCAAAGGGCAGGCTACTGGAGCAAATTGGTGGCAGTGTTGGTATAAAGGTAGCCAGGTAAACAATCATTTAATAGAGCCAGCTATTTGCCTGCCCGACGCCACAACCACCTACCTATAAGGCCAGACACGTTATCATTTCCTCAGGTAGGAAAACAAGCTCAAATTCTGGCAAGTGAGAGGTAGGGGCGAATATGGAACCCTCATTACAGACTCCTGGGAAGCGTGGGGAAGGTTCCCAGCTGTGGCGAATACCGAGTCCTAGCTAACACGTATGATCCCACAAAAGCCAACGAAGGCCAAGTGAACAGGAAACAAAGGCTTTATTCTCCTGGGCTCCCAACGTGGGTTCGACACTAGCCAGAAAGAAGGTTGGAAATACGCTCGAGAAAATAAACCCAGTAAAGAACGAACGAAAGGGCCACATCAGACTACAGGGGCTGCCGAAACTCGTTTTTCATCAACGCGGAGTGGAGAGCGAGGCGCAGGGCCCAGGCCCGGATCTCCGCTCCAGGCCGCTCGCCGCTCAGCCGGTGATGCGAACATCGGTGCGGCGGCGAAGCCGCCGGGCCCGCGCCGCCTCGGGCATGATGGCGAGCAGCTGCTCCTGGACTAGCATCTCCACGATCTGCTCCTTCGTGCGGATGTCGGGTCGCAGCCACTGGCGAGAGAGCTCCCGCAGCTGCCGGAACGCCTCTCGCGGGCCCGCCGCGTCCTGGTAGCGGAACTGTCGGAAACGCTGACGGAACGTCTCCGGGCCGGGCCGGGAGCCGCCGGAGTCTGGGGAGGAGAGCGGAGCGGCTTCTGCAAGGGGCGCGGACGCCAGGACTGCGGGCCCGAGGCGCAGCTCCAGAGCCACGGAGGCCGCCGCGGCAGGCGGAGGAATCGCTTCGGGGACGGCGGCGTTGGGGTTGGGTCGTTCAGGCGGTGGCCCCTCAGGAGTGGACGAGGAGCCCGCAGAGTTACGCTCCGGGCCTGCGCTCGGGCCGGCTCCTTCCTCTTTCGCCCACGGCGGCGCGGGGCTCCCAGCGGCCACCAAGCCCGGACCGGTCGCCTCCATGACTCCGGCTCTGGACGTCACCCTTTGTCCTGCGGCTGCGGGTTCAGCACCGCGTCTACGCCGGAGCGGAGAGAGAAAGGAGACGTTTTCCGCTAAAAGGGCGAGTCTGCGCCACCCAGAGGGAGGCGGACGCAAGGAAACGGGCGCGCAGAAGCTGGCGCAAAGAAGACGAAGAGCTCGCCCAACTCGCGGACCGCAGCGAAGCCCATGGGCGGACGGAAGCGGAAGTACCTGCTGGAGTCTCTATGATGAGCTCGGCGCGCAAGCGCCCGGAAGCCGAGTCAGGGCCACAGAAAGCGGCGCCCCCTAGCGTTCGCGAGTCGCGTGAGGAGGCAACCGCGACCGCGGTGTCGCGGGCCCGTCTAAGCGTGAGATGGCTTTTTCGAGATAGTGGCGCCTCCCGGCACCAGTTCGAGCCGGAGTCCGAGCCGGCGGATGGGGAGGAGCCGCAGGAGGAGCCGCAGGAGGAGCCGGAGCCCAGCCGGGTGCTTCCCCGCCGTGATCTCTTCAGCTCGCAGGTGAACGGCGCCAGCCCTTGCGTCCGCGTGGCTCACTGGACCCGGAATTGGACAGTGGCGAGTCGGGCTCGCCCGGGCTGGCGCCTGACCGGTGGCCGGAGCGGGGCAGCGGGAGGACGGTCGGGCGCTGAGGGAGGGCTCGACTCGAGAAAGTTCTCTAGCTCCGTCGGAAGAAGAGGGAGGGCATCCCTGCCTTATTGCTAAGACGACCATGTAACGTGTGCAAGATCCTCAAACAGGAAAACTTGCCCTTCACATGTCACAAGGTGAATGCTCAAAAATTCATTGCCATTATTATTTCTAGGGAGTCCTCTGAAACCAAGGGACACGTGGTCCTGTGGGTTGGGCTTTTAACTTTAGGGTTAGTAGATACACTGAATGCTTTGCTCCCTTGGTCACTAACCACATGTGCTTACTGAGTCCTTGGAAGGTGGCTAGTTGGAACTGAGATGTACTGTAACCTAAAATACACAAGGGACTTAGTACGAAAAAAACCCCAAATATCTCAATTTTTTATGTTCATTACATGTTGGAATGATAATATTTTGCATATATTGGGTCACATAAAATACATTATTAAAATTAATTTCACTTGTGTAATTTTACTTTTTAAATATGGCTACTAGAAAGTTTTATATTACATAGGTGGTTTACACTTTTATTTTTTTATTTATCCTATTTAAAATATATCTTTATTGATTTCAGAGAGAGGAAAGACGAGGGAGAGAGGGATAGAAACATCAATGATGAGAGAGTCATTGATCGAGCCCACAACCCGGGCATGTGCCCTGACCAGGAATCAAACCCTGATCGCCTGGATCCTAGGTCAACGCTCAACCGCTGAGCCACGCCCAGCCAGGCTACACTACTTTTTTACTGAATAGTGCTGTGCTAGGGTAGGCTGCCTTGGTGGAATCCCCATTGCAGGGTTTATTTGCCTTGCTGAGAGGATTAAACCAGTAAAGCCCTTGGAAGGAAAGGGCTTTTAAAATTAATTTATTTTTAATCTATCTTTATCAATCTCAGACAGAGGAAGGGAGAGGGATAGAGAGAGAGAGAAACATCAATGATGAGTCATTCATCGGCTACCTCCTGCATGCCCCGGACTGGGGATCAAGCCCACAACCCGGCCATGTGCCCTGACCGGGAATCTAACCGAGATCTCTGGGACCATAGGTAGATGCTCAACCACTGAGCCATGTCAGCCAGGTGAGTGGGCCTGTTTTAACAACAATTAACATACTGGTGACCCTGATACAAAACTTGCCCCCCTCCCCCCATAGGATGTGCTTTCTTGGATGCGTAGAAGTGGATCTTCACAGAGCAGTTTTCAGAGCCGGAAAATCTTTAAGGTAATCGTAACGGGTCTTTAATGTTTTTTAGCTCCTGCCATGGAAAAAATGGGAGATTTCAAATGCAATCTGGATTTCCAGGTTTTCTTGAAAAAGTGAATGAGCTGTCCACACTGGACCCACCCACATTTCTGCCAGTCAACAATCAGCTGGAGCTGAGTCCAGTCTTTTTCCTTTGGACAAGATACTCTGTCCCAATTGGCTTCAATCCCCACCATTCCCTTTTGTCCTCTGAAATAGAATGTGGTTTGCATTTACTATTGCTCTCAGATTGTTTTCTCAGAGCTGGTCTTTTTCTCTATTTTCCTTTCAGGGGTGGGAAAACAGGTCCAGAGTTTGTTACACTTAGTAGCTTCAAACTTTTATTTCCTTTCCCTGGCCCCTTGGCAGTGGGTTTGCTGCCCTGAGTGAACCGAAAGACCCTGTTGTGGTAATAAGCAGTCAGTATCCAGGGCTAAGGGAGTACACCAAACTCTGCTGCAAGGACGAGGGGTCATGGAAGGCTAAAAGGATGGAGTTGGGTATTCCAGGTAGAAGGTTCTGCCTGTACCAAGGCCCAGAGTGAATGGAAGCAAAACTTTGTGGAAACTGCAGGCTCGATGGGGGAGTGGTTGGGGTGTGGGGAAGGGATGAGAGCTGAGGTTGAAAGGTCAGTTGGAGGTTAAATCATAAAAAGCCTAGAATTCCACATTGAAAAACTGAATTCTTGTCCTCTTGGGAAAAGGGATGAACTCTTGTGACATTTGGAATCACGGAATGTTCGATCTCCTGTTCATTTCTTTCATCTCTATTGGAATAATAGAATATTAGAGGTAGAAGGAGAGATCTTAGAGATTTATTAGAATTGTGGGATGTTAGAATGGATTCGGTTATTCTAAACTCTTTATGGGTCAGTAAGCCCCCAGAATCTGAAAAAATTATACTTCTTCCTAGAAGAGTGACCCACTTACATACTTTTGCATACTGTTTCCAGATATCCTTGAACCCACCCAGAGGCTGACTAATATTTCACTGTATGGAACATCACATTTTGTTTATCCATTCATTTATTGATGGACATTTGGGCTGTTTCCACCTTTTGGCTATCAAGAATGCTGTTCTGATCATTGGTGTACAGAATTCTCTCAAGTTCCTGCTGTCCATTCTTTTGGATGTATACCCAGAAATGGAATTGCTGGATCATGTGCTAATTCTATGTTTACTTTTTTGAGGAACCACATACTATTTTCCACAGCAGCTCCACTATTTTACATTCCCATCAGCAATGCACAAGGCTTCTAATTTCTCCACATCCTCTCCAACCCTTGTTCTTTTGCATCATTTTTTAATGTGAGATATTAAATAGAAAATTTTAAGATGTTACCAGTGGACAAGAAATTCAGATTTTTGACAGATTTAGTAATTCTGTAATTTCACTTACATATACCACACAGTATGCACATCATTCCAGGGGGCCAGCCATGCTTATGGTGAAGAGGAAGCAGGTTTAGCTAATGAGGTGGTTTAGATAAAAAACCTCTAGGATGTTCCATTTTCTTTTTTTTTTTAATGTTTTTATTGATTTCAGAGAGAGGAATGGGGAGAGAGAGAGAGAAACATCAGTGATGAGAGAGTCATTGATTGGCTGCCTCGTGCATGTCCCCTGACCGGGAATCGAACTGCGATCTCCTGGATCCTAGGTAGATGTTCAACCACTGAGCCACGCCGGCTGGGCTAGGATGGTCCATTTTCGGCATTTTAAAATTTAATATAAAGTCTAAGAAGCTTGCTTTGGGCTCTCTACTGACTTTACTAACTTATTTTTAAAAATTAATTTCAAAGAGAGAGAAGCGATGTGAGAGAAACATTAATTGCCTCTCCCAGGGATTGAACCCACAACCTGGGTATGTGCTCTGACTGGGAATTGAACCCACCACCTTTTGGTGTATGGGACGATGCTCCCACCAACTGAGCTGCACTAGCCATGGCTTAACTTCTTTTTGATAATCTGTTTTATTAAATGTGTTTGTTCTTGGAATGGAGATCTGTTTTCTGATGTTTTGATGAGTTGCAGATAACTGGTCTAGGGTGCTTAATCTAGCTGGATTGTGTTTGTAATTAATTTAGTTATTAGTAATTCTCATTCCTGATAAACCAATGTAAATTCAGAAGCCTGGATACTTCATAAACCTTTTGCCTTTCTCTTCTTTTACTGATTTCTATTCAGTTGCAGTTCTGCTAGTTTCCAGTTTTGAATGAATCTGTTTTTATGTAGTGCTCTACCAGTAGCTCATGTTCCTTATTGCATTGCACTGATTTTGTTTAATACTTAAAAATTGATTCATTCATTTCCTGAGTAGGTGGTATACACACACACACACCCCCATTATAGAATTCAAAAGTCAAAAAAGAGTAATTGTTATACTTTTTTTCATCTTTTTCTATCCAGCCTTGATTATTATTGCTAGCTCCCTTTGTATCTTTAAATATGCTTACACACAGGTTTCTTCCTTTATCAAGGTTTAAAAGGTGTCTTAAGATTTACAGGCATTTTTTTAAAATATATTTTTATTGATTTTAGAGACAGAGGAAGGGAGAGGGAGAGGGAGAGAGAAACATTGATGTGAGAGAGAAACATTGATCGGCTGCCTCCTGCATGCACTCCAGTGGAGATGGAGCCCAAAACCTGGGCATGTGCCCTAACTGGGAATTGAACCCCCATTTCAGTGCACAGGACGACATTCCAACCAACTGAGCAACATTGGCCAGGGCAAGTTCTTAAAAGTTCTTATCACAAGAAAAAAATTTTAACTATGTGAGGTGATGGATGTTAACCAAATTTATCATGGCAGTCATTTCACAGTATATACATATATCAAATCATTATGTTACACACCTTAAACTAATACAATTATATCTCAGTAAAATGAGAAAAATAAAAAAGATTTACAGGTATAAAGTTGAAGGAAGCCGTGTACTTACGTTACCTCACATCCCTCTATTACCTGCATACTTGTTAGCTATATTATTTTCTGGTTCCTTTTTAATTGTCCATTTTCAACTCCTTCACTTGCATTTTGCAATCCTATCCTCTGGATTCAGCAAGGCTAGCTTCCTTTTCGATGTGTTAGAAATGACCTTCACTTCTGAGATTTCTTTTTAAAACATTTCTTTCCTGAGCTCTGCCAATACTGTTTCCTCCTCATCTCTTCTTTGAACTATGGCATCTTTGCTTTGATCTCTTGTTTTAAAATTCACTCAGCCCTCTGAGTTCTTTGTTGTCCATAATTATCATCTGTTTCATGTTAATTTTTTTCTGGTCAGTGCCTTTCACCTGCCATTTGTTTTTCTCGTTCCCTGCTTCTCTCTCCCACTTTTGGAGTAATATATTTATATAGGGCTGGTGCTATTTATTTTTTACTATAACTGCCCTTTAAATGAAGAAAGAGCCATTCCCCAATTAAAGATAAGCAAGTTGTTATTTTTTAAAAATTTTATTTATTGATTTCAGAGAGAGAGAGAAAAACATCAGTTTGTTGTCCCACTTACTTATGCATTCATTGGTTGATTCTTGAATGTGCCCTGACCAGGGATTGAACTCACAACCTTGGTGTATCAGGATGATGCTCTAACCAACTGAGCTATCTGTGCAGGGCCCTTATTAAAACAAGTTAAGTTTTAATAATATTTTAACCAAAACATCATGCACGTCAAATAAAGCAGTCTCAAGCTCTGTTTGGCTCATGGGTGGCTAGTTTTTGGCCTCTGCCAGCCCAACCTCACTTCCAGCCGCACCTCTTGGGCACCTCACATTCTGGCCACATCTCATGCTCCTTGAACAGGCCCTGCCCTTTCTTCATATATGTTTGTAATTTTATTATAGTGAGACTTTGTCTTATGGCTGTGGCAGCATTTTTCTTCCCCGTCATATTGTAAACTCCTCATGAACAGAGACCGTTGTTTACCTTTTCCTCCTTTATACGTAGTTGGGACTCTATAAATGTTTGTTACGTAACACTTATAATTAGCAAAACAAGAATCTTATCTTAAAAAGAAGTTACTTGTGGAATTAACTCTAACTCCATTTTATAAGGAGGAAATTGAAGCCCCATGTGGCTAAATGATTTACCCAAGATCAAATAGGAATAGGACCAGTGCTCTTTCTGACAGTCTGCTCTGTAACCGTTCAGTTATAAGATTAGGAACTGGGACAGAAATAGCACTTTATTAATTTCTAGAACTGACTTTAATGACCGACTGAGTCCCCAGTCTGCCTCCTAGCATACAACTTAATTTAAATGTCTTTAGGTAAATAGCCAATTCAATTATTTTGAGGAAATGTAATTTCAGGCTTATTGACATCTTAGGTCAGTTCAAAGCTCTCCAAACTTCCTGCCTCTTCCTCAACACTGATCCAATTCCCAGGGAAATTATACAACCACAGCTGGCAAGAGGTGAGGTTAGGAGTGTGTGCATTTGGTGTCCTATCAAGTTCTTGGTCCTACTTATTGGCAGCCTCTGATGCCCCTCATTAATCTGAGTCCTTTTCATGTCACTTGGATTCTCAGGCAACTTGGAGAACTGATGGGACCACTTCTCTGTCCATAGCCATGTCCCACCATCTCTCTTGCTTTCCCCATGCCCATAGTTTCTCTCAGAACCCCCCTAAATTTTTGTAGGGGATGTTCTTGTATTTTCTTCAAGACCAGGTCTGTGGTAGGGAAGACAAAAATTCCATACTGCTCGCTCTCTGTCTCTGTCTCTGTCTCTGTCTCTGTCTCTGTCTTTGTCTCTGTCTCTGTCTCTGTCACTCTTCCTGAAACTTTCTCTTCCTGTCTTTGAGTCTTTTGCATCTTTACTCCAGGTAAAGGAAAAAGCCAGTTCTGTCTTTTTTCATCTCTGTAAATGGTTAATGTCTCACACCAGGAATGGTGGCCTTTCAATTTAGTAATTCAGAACCTGGGTCTTTGTTCCCAGCTGTCCAGCTGTCTTCCCTGTATTCGGTGCCCTTCCATTTGGCTGTCAGTTGGGGCGAGCTGGCAGATAGGTATAGTTGGATAGGGATGGCAGAACAGACGGTGCTTGAAGTTATAGTTTTTTACTGAGGATTTTTATACAGGAGCAAATTGGGATTATCAACTGCTATCTTTAATAGAAAAAAGTACTTTAGACCCTATATTTCTCTACTTTTTTTTTTTAAAGTGTTTTTATTGATTTCAGAGAGAGGAGGGGAGAGGGAGAGGGATAGAAACATTGATGGAAGAGAAATATTAATTGAACTGGTGACCCCCTGGTGTGATGGACAGTGCTCAACCAACTGAGCCATACCAGCCAGGCTCTTCTTTACTTTTTAAAAAAAATATGTTTTTATTGATTTTAGAGAGAGGGGAAGGGAGAGGGAGAGATAGAAACAGAAACATCGATTAACTGCCTCCTGCACACCCTGTCCTATGGGGGGAATGAGCCCGCAGCCCGGGCTTGTACCCTGACCAGGAATCAAACCACGATCTCTTGGATCATAGATTGATACTCAACCGCTGAGCCACACCAGCCGGGCTCTTCTATACTTTTGAAAAGACCCCAGGGTCACTGAGTTACAGTCACCGGATGCCTTCAACATTCGGCACTCCATTTGGTTTTGGGGACTTCCAATTTGCTGAGTGTTCCTGATTTACTGTCTTATATCAAGATTTATATTAACACCCTTGGATACAGGGTGTCCAGGTTCTAAGCCTCAGAGTAGTCCCAGGCTGAGATGCTGGATGCCCTGGGCCCCAGCCCAGGAGACTTCTATTTTCTTTTTATGGCCTCATGGCTCTGGCAGTCATTTATCCACTGAGCCTCAGTATCGTTGTATGTGGAGTGGGCATGAGGTCTCTCATTTTGTGGTAGTTATGAAAATTAAGATAATGCCTATGAGTGTTCAATAAATGCTAGAATCTCAGGTTTTGGTTCCTCTCTTCCTTCCAGAATCCTTCATTGTGACATGAGATTCTGAGGATGAGATTTTTCGTAGAACACAGCTTCTAATAGCTGTTGGTAGGGTATGAAGAATGGAGAGGAGCACTTACCTTGCCACTAAGGGAAGCTACTCATTTCTAATATAACCAAGGTCCTTGGGAAGGATTCGTGGTCCTACCCTTGAAAGGCAAAGGGGCTTGTGCCATTTGCCAAACCAGGAACCATGAGAAGATACACAGTGTCTCATTCCTGGCAAGTTTTGAAGAAGGAACAGGTGAGGAGTGTGAAGGGCTCTGGGAGGGAAGAGGGGGAGATTCAGCAGCAGGTATTTTGAGGAAGGGAAAGGCGGGCATAGGAGGGGCCTTGGATGAGTCTGGTTACCTTGAGCCTTTTGGAGTCACAACATGGACACAAAGGAGAGAGTTCCAGATTAGGCTTCAGAAAGACTGAATTCTTGATGTGTCATAGAATTGTGCACCTGAAACCTGTATAATTTTGTTAACCAGTATCACCCCAATAAAAAGGGGAAAAAAGAAAGAAAGGCTGAATTCTGAGCCCTGCCCTTGTAGCCTACTACCTCCCGACGCTGAGCAAGTCACATGTTACACTCTGAGCCTGAGTCCTGCTCTCCTGCTCTGTACCCATCTTTTCTACTATTATGAGATCCAGAGGAAATAGGCCTAGCAGCAGGATAAAGTAATAGGTTACACTTAAAGATTCTGGAGCCAGACTTGACTTTTCTTTTTTTTTAATATATCTTTATTGATTTCAGAGAGAGGAAAGGAGAGGGAGAGAGATAGAAACACCCATGATGAGTCATTGGGGATCAAGCCCTCAACCCGGGTATGTGCCCTGACTGGGAATCGAACCCCGATCGCCTGGATCCTAGGTCGACACTCAACCGCTGAGCCATGCCTGGCCGGGCTCCCCTCC